AAGACGATGACGATGACACCCACCATGCCACAAACGACGAAAATCCTGGAAACAGTTGTCAGCGTCGGACGAGTGAAGAGAATACAGATATGGACGAGGATAGAACAAATACAGAAACTGGAGATGGTGAAAACTCTGAAGTTACAGATAATACTGAGGAAGATGAGCATATAGAGAACCCGGCGAGTACTGCTGATGAAAGTTTAGAATCAGCTACAGAACCACAGCCCACAGGTACTAAGTTATTCACAAAAGATTAGACTTTAATGTCGACCTAAATATCTTTAAGAGTTTATTTCTGTCTTCAAGAAAGTCTTTTCATGGGTTACTTTAATGATGTTATACATTTGTTTCTTTTATTTAAACAAAATTTCCGGGGCTTTTCCTGGCCCCAGACTACACTTTTGTAAATTAATATCCATCTTAGGCAGACTTACGGATTGGTTTAATTACTAATCGATTTCCCGCGGTGGTCATGCCTTGCAAGGGTAACAAAAATGAAGCGATTGATTCTCAATTTTATAAGCGCCGACATTGGATATCGAAATCGAGCGTTAACGATTATCGATATTAAATATTTCACTTTAAAGTTCAGATCTCAGGAATATTAAAAAAATTATCAATGAGGAGCCAAAAACTATTGTCAAATGATTTTTATTTTTATTTTAAGCGTTATCTTATTTTTATGTTTTTTTTAGGGCGTTGATGTGTTAGGGCTACGAAAAAAGAAGATTTCAAATTGATGTTGAAACTTCTGTTCTATTTCTGTATTAACTTCAGGGATTGTACAAATTAGTTTTTACATGTACAGATCTCGCTGTATATTGTACATACCTACTTATATCATGTACATTTGCTAAGTCCGTCATTAATTCAATAAAATGTAAATTGTAAGAGTTTTAAAACAATTTATTATTAATTGCATTGCTTTAATCCCGAAAAGAACCCACCTACACCTCTTTACGTTTATCTTAGTTTCTGTTTAACCAATAACTTCGGAGCCATCGAAAGAATTTGTATAATGTCGTCTTGACAATTTTCAATTGGTTTTATAATTTTACCTCACCTCAGCGTTGAATACTGAACAGGGTACTCGTAGACTCCCGCCGTTTACCCGCACTTGACGATTTTTACCGGGAAACAAACTTTTCGTTATAAGAGTTGACCCACTCAACTTAGAATCTCAAAACAAAACTAAGAACATTCCCGTTGTTCCATGAAAATCGAATTTTGTCGGAGGCTGATTTTTGAAATTTTTTTCATAAAAAAACTTTCCCTGGGGTTTCTTGTGGTTTCACAAATTTGGGCCGGAAAGTTCAGCCATTTTGACATTTAGTGGATACAAACAAACAAACAGACAGACACACAAATTATGTTTTTAGAATAAGATATAATTTAGTATAATATCGAATAATTCCTTAACTTTTGGTCGAACATTGTTTAACCAGAGTTAAATAATTTATAAAATAGTTTTTAGCCTTTATTATTGATGGAGTTACAACAATTTAACCAGGAAAGACCAAAAACAGTAAAATGGTTATTAAAGTAAATCCTTTCAAAATATGAAAATCCGTATTAAAGCTTGTTATTCCATACTTTCTCCAGCCCCCCCCCCCACACACACATTAAATTCCTCTTTCCGTCAGATGGATTTTTATTGTAAACTTAAAGTTAAAAGATGACGTTTGTTTGTCTTAATTGATAAGAACCTGGGCCAATAAATGTACAATATTTTTAAACAGAAACTTGTAAATAGCAAATATATTATACACTTTACAGGGTTACCCACAAAGGATGAGACTTTAATGATGACCAGATTGTAACAGTCTTAATATAAATAGCGTAGTTTGCCTTAAATCAAGTCTTGGGAATATAAATTCAATGATTTGGAAAAGGTAGAAATGAAAGGAAAGTAAAATAATTTCTGTAAAATCATTTTTGAAGTCTTAATCTTTCAGTAATGTTCGTTTTTAAACAAATGTTTTCTCAAAATATAGGAGTCTATAAAAATTTGAAGATCTAAAAAGTTGAATTTCAAAATTTAGATTAAAACAAACCTTTAAAGAGTTATTTAAACATTTTTAAAATCTCAAATTTAAGTTTGGAAAAACCAAATTAAGTTATTGCTCTTCACTACACATCACTGCTTAGGATCTGGAATTATTGCTCTTCATTTCACATCACTGCTTAGGATCTGGAATTAAGTTATTGCTCTTACTACACATCACTGCTAAGGATCTGGAATTAAAATATTGCTCTTCACTACACATCACTGCTTAGGATCCGGAATTAAAATATTGCTCTTCACTACACATCACTGCTTAGGATCCGGAATTAAAATATTGCTCTTCACTACACATCACTGCATAGGACCCGGAATTAAGTTATTGCTCTTCACTATACATCACTGCTTAGGACCTGGAATTAATTATTGCTCTTCACTATACATCACTGCTTAGGATCCCGAATTAAAATATTGCTCTTCACTACACATCACTGCCTAGGACCCAGAATTAAGTTATTGCTCTTCACTATACATCACTGCTTAGAACCCGGAATTAAATATTGCTCTTCACTATACATCACTGCTTAGGATCCGGAATTAAAATATTGCTCTTTAGTACACATCACTGCTTAGGATCCGGAATTAAAATATTGCTCTTCACTACACATCACTGCTTAGGACCTGGAATTAAAATATTGCTCTTCACTACACATCACTTCTTAGGACCCGGAATTAAGATATTGCTCTTCACTACACATCACTGCTTAGAATCCGGAATTAAGTTATTGCTCTTCACAATACATCACTGCTTAGGACCCGGAATTAAAATATTGCTCTTCACTACACATCACTGCTTAGGACCAGGAATTAAGATATTGCTCTTCACTACACATCACTGCTCAGGATCCGGAATTAAGTTATTGCTCTTCACTACACATCACTGCTCAGGATCCGGAATTAAGATATTGCTCTTCACAACACATTAATGCTTCGGATTCGGAATTAAGTTATTGCTCTTTACTGCACATCACTGCTTAGGATTCCTTGATCTGGATCAAATTGGAGAAAATGAAACCTGTTTCTCCACATTTCTTAAAGTCAAGAAATGGGACCCTTCCTAATCATTAAATGGGAAAGCGTAAAACAAAACAAAAACCTTTTACAGTAAAACTCAAAGAAATTCTTGTGAGCTGAATCCGGATTTATTACATTTTTACGCTTGTGTCCTTGTGGGGCATTTAGAGCTTGATTAATAGCTTGTATAATAGCTAGGCATGTGTCCTTGTGTGACATTCAGAGTAAGAGAAATAGCTAGGTTTATAGCTACACTTGTCTCCCTGTGTGACATTTAGAGCTTGAGTAGTAGCTAGATTGATAATCTACGCTTGTGTCCCTGTGTGGCATTTAGAGCTTGAGTAGTAGCTAGATTGATAAGCTACGCTTGTGTCCCTGTGTGACATTTAGAGCTTGAGTAGTAGCTAGATTGATAATCTATGCTTGTGTCCCTGTGTGGCATTTAGAGCTTGAGTAGTAGCTAGATTGATAAGCTACGTTTGTGTCCCTGTGTGACATTAAGAAATTGAGTATTAGCTAGATTAATAAGCTTCACTTGTGTCCCTTGGTGACATTTAGAGCTTGAGTAGTAGCTAGATTGATAAGCTACGCTTGTGTCCCTGTGTGGCATTTAGAGCTTGAGTAGTAGCTAGATTGATAAGCTACGCTTGTGTCCCTGTGTGGCATTTAGAACTTGAGTAGTAGCTAGATTGATAAGCTACGCTTGTGTCCCTGTGTGGCATTTAGAGCTTGAGTAGTAGCTAGATTGATAAGCTACGCTCGTGTCCCTTGGCGGCATTTAGAGCTTGAGTAGTAGCTAGATTGATAAGCTACACTTGTGTCCCTGTGTGACATTTAGAGCTTGAGTAGTAGCTTGTTTTATAGCTATGCTTGTGTCCCTGTGTGGCATTTTGAGCCTGCTGAGTTGCGTCCTGGTTGACTTGGATACCGGAGTAGTAGCTAGATTGATATCTATACACTGTACGCTGTACACTGTACGATGTACACTGTACACTGTATGTTGTACACTGTACATTAACTGCATTATACTGTACGCTGTTTTTTTAGGCTGTATATTCTGTGTTGTACACGTCAAGCTAACACAAATTGCAACTAATATTGAAATCTTATATGTTTTATAATCATAACTCCTACTTTAATAAAACTTTTGAGAGAAAAAAATGTTTACAAATTTAGAAAAGCCTTTGAGAAAAAAAAAGTTAAAATTTCTAATGTGAAATTTGATAAATTTGTTATCAAAGTTTGCGTAAATTCAGAGCAAGAAGAGGATCTACGAGGTAAAACAATCGTACTAGTAATGTCCCATATATTTGAGTTTCTCCTTCACATAAATTTCACTTGAAGGGGATCATTCATTTGGTGTACAGTCCCGTTTTGCCTCATATAGTCTTTATTTGTACAGTACTGCTTGCCTTGGCCAGTAGAAATTCGGCCCGGTACATGAAATGAACTGGAATGTACCATGCCTTCTGTCTTTTTTACATTGTGGAATCTTTACATTGTACGTCTGTTTGTTGTTCTCTGTGCACAGTACTTTGTACACTTTTTAAATAATGATATTTTTTGTTTCTGGAATCCTGAGTTTAAAGTCCATGTTTATTTACAAGCATTATCTCAGGTTTGAACAGTATAAAAGAATGAATAAGTTTATGAATTTATTAGTGCTTTATAAAGTTTAAAACTTTACTGCTAAACTCAGAAAAAAATATAAGGTAAAATATTCATTTATCAATTTAATTTAAATAGTTTTAAATGCAAATTATAAGTCAGTTTAAGCAATTAAGAACACATTTATAAATCATTTTACTAAATAACATTTGTTTCTTTCAGGTATGATTCTTTCGATTGTATCTATTCTTTTTGCTGGATATCTGGCCTCCTGTAGCAGGGTAAGTTTTTATATCAATTCAAACCATATCCTGCTATTTATAGGCAAAACAGTATGCTTAATTTAATGAAAATGTGAAAACAATTTTACTCAATAATTAATCTTACAGCTTTCTATTTTCATATTTTTAATTATAAGCTAGGTTTTAATTGTCCTTATGTTTATATTGGTATTTATTGTAGGGATCTGTTTCTGCAGAAACAACTGCTGTACTTCTAGGAGGTGAATATGGTAAGTTTTTCTTATTTATTCTTATTCAATAAAGAAACACAAATATATACTTCTGTAGAACACAAGATATATAAATCAAATTATTATGATTGAATCAAAATTGTTTTAAAATATTATGATTAATATATAAAAAACTCACCATAGACCTATTTTCAATGAAAACCTTCAACTTTTAAATTAAAAATCTAATTTGAATTTGAATTTTAAATTTAAATTACATTTTTACGTTAACTAGAATATATGATAAAATATAATCATAATATGTAAGTTTTTATGTTCTCAAATAATGTTTTTTAAATCTTTACTTAAATATTTCAGCTAGACAGAAACATGAATGAACCATATTTACATCATATTTTAGATTCTAGATTTAGATTATTCTCGAGTCCAGCAGATTTATTATCAAATCTCATCTAAATCAAAGACTATCATTAGAAAAGATTTTAAAGAATTTTTAATAATTTTATTTATTAGTGGTTTATTTTCTACTAATAATACCTTTGCAACCTGATGGTGTAAACCTTTGATGCTTCAAATTTAGCCTTTTCTGTATACAACAGAATTTAAATGTTAAAATATGAAAGGATTACAAAGCTATTAGGATTAGTGAAAAAAAAAATCTATTCCTTTGTCGTATACTTGTCAAAAAGACAATATTAAAAGAAACGAAATTGAGTTTAGCAAAAGTTTCAGGTCCCTAAATATAACATTTGTTTTTTCATTTTCTTTCTTGAAAAATAATTAGAGTATTACCCCGGTGGTTTCACCAAAAAAATTGTAAGAAAAGGCTTATTAAGAATCTCAGTAACTCTTTTTACTTTGTAAATTCATTAATTGTAATCTAAACTGGAACTGGGTAAAACAAATATTTATTAGGATTCTGTACAGGCAGAAATGCATTTTTCTGATTGTTTTTAAATATGGTCCCTGATTGAAGGGACCGAAAGTGCACAAAGTTCATAGGAAAAGTGCATTTTAGTTATTAGATAATGCGTTTTTCAATATCTTCTGAATTAAATCAAAAATATTGGAAAACTTTTATTAAAATAAATGCATATCCAAATATAGTTATATAGTTATATAAACATAATTAGTTTCCAGTAACTTCACCCCAGACCCAGTCTCCCGGATTATAAAATACAAACTTTAATACGATAACAAAGAAAAAACATGTTATATAAACATATAAAACTATTCAACCGACTACAGATTTCTAAAGAATTTCCATGGAAGGAAAATATCAAATTTTTCTTATAAGATGTTATATAATAATAAAGACGTCAGAAATTTTAATTCTTGAAGGTTTTTCCAGGATTTTAAATTTTGTTCATTAAACGGAATGTTTTCGAAAAAACGTTATAGCTGTAAATATGTTTAGATAGACCCCACCTTTAAGTTTAGATAGACCCCCACCACTCAAAGATGAAAGACGGAAATAATTTCTATTTAAATTAATGTTTTCTTTTATAACAGAGATTAGAAATTAAAATGAAATGGTTTAAACAATAATAAGTTTTGAATTAAAAACGCGATTTTCACGGTTTCATATTTTCGTGATAAATAAAAGTTTTCTTATGAGTAAAATAGAAAAACGTTCTGAAATCACTTAATAGATTCACATTTAAACATATTTCATTTCAACTTAATAATATAATTTGTAGAATTAGGATAATGATGTAATTATGCCAAAACTCTAAAAACGATATCTAATTATTCTCTAACTGACACTTAAAGCTATCTGAATTTATTTCTCTACCGATCAATGATTAACACAAACATTTGCATTCAGATTATATCTCCAACTAACTACAGGGTGTCCCAATAAACATAGGAATTCAGTGACGAATTGGATATCGTCTTTGTTATGAATTAGCATTGTAATATCTGATTTCAAAAGCCATGATATTATAAAGTCTGCTAGAGTTTATTTTATGAAAACAGTAAAAGACTGCAAAGATGTGTCCATAATGTCTCCGCAAGATGAACAGTGAAGACGGACAAGTTTACTCCGTTTGTATACTGTAATTTTCTTGTTTTACTAAGTCCAACCATATGCAGTCAAAACATAAACAAACAAATTGTAAACATAGCAGACGAAAATCTTATGGATTATAGCTTTCTCAGCGAATAGACGAATAGANTTTATTACAATCATAAAGGAATTATAGATAAACATATACATGGTACAAAGATATATAAAGATTATGTTGTATTTATTACAATCATAAAGGAATTATAGATAAACATATACAGGGTACAAAGATATATAAAGATTATGTTGTATTATTACAATCATAAAGGAATTATAGATAAACATATACAGGGTACAAAGATATATTAAGATTATGTTGTATCTATTACAATCATAAAGGAACTGGCGTCTTTGCCACACACTCAAATTTTCTATTTCCCTAGAAACCTAACTGTGTAAATCTTTGAAATTACAATAATTTCAAACTTAAATTATTTGATTTATTAGAAAATACATTATTTGTAATTTAAAATATCTGCAAAGATATAGGAATATCAGAGTTTGTGTCAAAGACTCAATTCCTTTACAAAAAATTCATGAATCCAATTCTCTTTGGATATAAACAAGATAAGAATTGAAAACTTGTTTTTCTTGTTCAGTTTCCTCATTTTGGCCAGATCCCTGAATAAAATTCTCATCTAATATATGTTTTTTTCTTTCCCCAAAAAATTTTAACGTTACATTTTGCAAAACGGCCATGTGTGACATTTTTTTACAAGTTTATTGTGCTGCATTCAATATTTTACAGTTTCTAAATATCCTTGGTTCAATATTTTACATTTTCTTAATATCATTGGATCAATATCTTACAGTTGTAAATAGTTTTGGTTCAATATTTTACAGTTTCTAAATATCTTTGGTTCAATATTTTACAGTTTCTAAATATCATTGGTTCAATATTTTGCAGTTTCTAAATATCATTGGTTCAATATTTTACAGTTGTTTAATATCCTTGATTCAATATTTTAAAGTTTCTAAATATCCTTGGTTCAATATTTTACATTTTCTTAATATCCTTGGATCAATATTTTACAGTTTCTAAATATCCTTGGTTCAATATTTACAGTTTCTAAATATCCTTGGTTCAATATTTTACAGTTTTAAATATCATTGATTCAATATTTTACAGTTTCTAAATATCATTGGTTCAATATTTTACAGTAGTTTAATATCCTTGATTCAATATTTTACAGTTTCTAAATATCCTTGGTTCAATATTTTACAGTTTCTAAATATCCTTGGTTCAATATTTTACAGTTTCTAAATATTCTTGGTTTAATATTTTACAGTTTCTAAATATCCTTGGTTCAATATTTTACGGTTTCTAAATATCCTTGGTTCAATATTTTACAGTTTCTAAATATACATAGTTCAATATTTTACAGTTTCTAAATATCCTTGGTTCAATATTTTACAGTTTCTAAATATACATAGTTGAATATTCTAAAGTTTCTAAATATCCTTGGTTTAATATTTTACTGTTTCTAAATATCCTTAGTTCAATATTTTATAGTTTCTAAATATTCTTGATTCAATATTTTACAGTTTCAAAATATCCTTGGTTCAATATTTTATAGTTTCTAAATATCCTTGGTTAAATATTTTACAGTTTCTAAGTATTCTTAGTTCAATATTTTACAGTTTCTAAATATCCTTGGATCAATATTTTAAAGTTTCTATATATCCTTGGTTCAATATTTTACAATTTCTAAATATCCTTGGTTCAATATTTTAATGTTTTTTTATATCCTTGGTTTAATATTTTACAGTTTCTGAATATCCTTGGTTCAATATTTATAGTTTTTAAATATCCTTGGTTCAATATTTTACAGTTTCTAAATATTCTTGGTTCAATATTTTACAGTTTCAAAATATCCTTGGTTCAATATTTTATAGTTTCTAAATATCCTTGGTTAAATATTTTACAGCTTCTATATATTCTTGGTTCAATATTTTAATGTTTTTTTTAATATCCTTGGTTTAATATTTTACAGTTTCTAAATATCCTTGGTTCAATATTTATAGTTTTTAAATATCTTTAGTTCAATATTTCATAGTTTCTATCCTTAAATTACTGTTATACTTTTTTAAACAACTTTTTTCCAGATTCCACAAGCGCAAGAAAATTTGTATAAATTAAAAGTTTTTCTGTTAATAAAGAACGCTTATCTTTTGTACCTTGAGAAGAGAATTGACGTCAATTTGTTAAAATAGATAAGAATATTGAATACATGAATAAAAACACCAATGCAATGCATATTACCTGTACATTAATAAATTATAAAATAACTGCACAATGCTATTTCCCTCCCCCCCCCTTCCTCTACTAAAAGTAGCTTACTCTTATACATATTTCTGTACTATCATGTGTTTTTCTTAACTGTACTTTGCTGCACCGTCCTATACTGAACTTTACAATACTGTACTGTACTGTACTTTACAAAACTATACTATACTGTACAGTATTGTACTGTACTGTACTGTACTGAACTGTACTATATAGTATTGTACTGTACTGTACTGGACTGTACAGAGAAAAATGTACAGAGTACAATGTACAGAGTACAATGTACAGAGTACAATGTA